GGGAACAATGCAGTCACGGGCCTTTCTTCCGCGTTTTTAGGTGAGGGAGAAGGCCAGCCTCTTGTGGGGCCGCCGAGCTCCACACGGAGCTGGAACAGATCCCGGGGATGGCGTGGGGAAGAGAAGGTTCCTCAAGCATCCGGCATCCCATGAAGGGGCACGCGGAAGTGACGAGGGCAGCAGGTGGCCAGAGGGGCCTGGGGGCCAGGCAGCAGTGAGGAACCTGTGTCATTGGGCCCGGACTGCGTGGCAGGACCATGGACAGAGGCTGCCGACAGCTCAGAGCCTGCACGTGGCCATCTACACATCAGCAGGTAACTGTCCCCCATGTGCAGACACAGACAGTCAGGTCTCCTCCGACAGCTCAGCATGGCCACCTGTGGTTCAGATGCCCTCTGATTCGACTCCCCAGGTTATGGAAACCTCCATAGCAACCAGACACAGGTCGGGGATGAGACAGTCCCGGAGAAGGGGCAGACAGTTCGGAAAGGGAGCCTGAACCTGGAAGGGCCTGGGGGACCGTCCTGCCGGCTTTAGCCCTTCGGCCACCGGCTCCCCATTCCCTGCAGGAGACAGTGAGGCATTTTCTGACGGTGCAGAGAGGGTCAGAGCACACTGAGACTCTGCCCAGAGAACAGAGGGGAGAGGGGCACCCCACCCTCGAGGCCCACCCCTGTAACCGCAAGCCTCATGAAGGGATCTTCAGGTGAGCTTGTCCCATGTCCCCTAGAATTGTGAGAACACAGGTCCAGGTGCTCGATTCATCCTGCAGGCCTCCGGAGAGCCGCTGAGGGCGGCTGGACTGGCCTGAGAGCGAGCGAGCAGCATTGCTGGGCAGGGGTCCCCTCCAGCGAGGGATGAGGGCTGAAGTGGCTGTGCTCATTTCCCAGGGCCAGATGGGGGTCGATTGGAGAAGAATCTGCCATGAGAGCTTTCTGCAAAGAGCGAACGACCCAACCATCGGAGGCATCACTGTACTGAAGAAATGGGGGGCAGGGGAGGGGTGTGGCCCGATGGGTACATCTCCAAGGAGTCACCAGAACATCCAACAGCACAGGAAGCAGATTCCCCATCCACCCTAGGAAGAGCCCTGCCTGCGTGAGGCTGCCAGACACCCTGCCCTGTGTAGTCTCCCCCCGTCCCCTACACCTGGTCCCGCAAAGCTCACACCCCGGGGTGGGGGCAAGAAAACAGGAAGCCGCCTGCCACCCCCTGCCACCCCCTCCGAGAAGCCTGGGCTGGGGTGGGGTGAAGAACCAGGACAGTGACAGTGAAAAGAAGTTACAAACTGGATGAGAGTTTGGAGTCTATACACTTGCCTAGACTTTTCAATACCTAAAAAAAAAGACTGTTTATTTATTACCCAAAAAGCCCGGAGAGGCTCTGCCATGACAGTTCGCCCTGGGGTAGGAGGTGGCAAGGAACAGGATTAGAGGAGGCAGGGGTGAGGGGGACGCTGCCTCCTGCCTGGTCACTCAGCAGGTGACACGTGAGCGATGCTGGAACCCGGCAGCAGATGCTCGTGCAGATCCCTGGAACCTGGACGTCGGAAGGGGCCTGGGGATTGCCGCCCCGCACGCCCGTCGATCTAAGACCCGATGAGTGCAGCGTGGGAAAGGCACGGAGGCGGCAGACGTTAGAGCCACAGGGCCAGGGGCTCCATGTGCGCAGGCTCTGAGGCGCCCGCCGACAACGCCCACGGTGTGTGAGAGAGGACAAGACGTAGGCGAGCTCCGCCCACAGCCCTGGGCAAGCCCTGCCAGTGCATGCGGGACACCACAGCCGCCTGGGGCCTCTCCGAGGGGTGTCCCGAGGGCCCTGCCAGTGCATGCGGGACACCACAGCCGCCCGGAGCCTCTCCGAGGGGTGTCCCGAGGGCCCTCGGGAAGCCCCGGGGATGGAGCAGGGCGGCAGGGACAGGACACGATGACCCCGAGGGTGGCAGGGACAAGATGCCAGGACCCCGAGCCAGGGCTCCAAGGACACTCACTGCTGCTTGCTGTCCGTGAAGTGCAGGTCCACCTTGAGCTGGAAGCCGACTTCACTCAGCGCCTCTTCCACCTGCGAGAGAGACAAAGTTCAAGGGACCTCAGGGCATCGAGTCCGGTCCGAGGGAAAAGCTCGGCTGCTCTTTTTCCCAGAGCTGAGGAAAGGGATCTACGCGATCTACGCTTAAAGCGGACTCCCCGGCACGCTCCGCAGACCTGTGGCCGAGCCGGAGATCTGGATTACACGCTCAACAGAAGGAAGCGATTTATGTGGTCAAACCTGGGAAAAGTTTCATTTGCAAAAGAAAAAAAAAAAAAATGCCGGTACAGGGAGTTCTCTGGACGGCAGGATTTCCGAGAACCTCGTTCCCAGGTTTGAGCTGAGCCCTTTTCAGCGGGAGTCAAGTGTTTCCCGGCGCCTGCTCGGAGGGCGGGACAACTTGGCTGTGGTGTTATCTCTGCCCTCGGGCGCTCTCGCTGGCTGGCCCCATCGTCCACTGCCCAGGAGGACAGAGGAAGCTGAGGCCCAGGAAAGCGGAGTCGTCTCCCGAGGTGACTCAGCTCCCCGGGGAAGCAGATCCTTCGTCTTTGTCTTGAGATGCACTGCACGTCACCATTCATACTTTAAGACGCTTCAGCATTGCGTGTCTTATCCGTGGCTGCTGCTGTTCTCAGCTCTAAAAAAGGCCTGTTTCTGTTGACGAGCAGGGGGACCAATCTGTCCTACCTGCCGGCTTCTCGCACGCGTCTGAAACACGGGACCCCACTTCCGCGCTCCTCCCACACGCAAGGCCACCACCCCTCCTCAAAGGGCAGCTGCTCCTCGACGCCGGATCTCGCAGCTGCCCCCTCCGCAGGGGCTCGGGGCTCAGTGCCTGTCTCCGCCCCAGCCCCCGGCCGGGTGGAGCCCTTCGCCCCGGTGACCCAAGAACCCTACTTTGTTCTATCTCAGCATGCCACGCTTCCTATTATTTTTTGTTTCTTTGTTTAGGGTTTATACCCCGGAAGCCCGTGAGCCAAAATTCATCTTTTGGACACATTTTGTTTAGTCCTCACGAAGTTGCAAGTTGCAACTCATAAGCGGCAAACATTTAAAAATCAGGCAATTTAACATTTCTGTGGCAGGTTTCCAGATTGTAAGAAAAAAATGGGGGGGAGGGGTGGAGGAAAAAAACAAAAATCTGCCTCGATCTGGCCATGCTGGACTCGCGTCTGGGGCTTCCATGCAGATCGGGCCTGCAGAAGCCACTGTGGCTAAAATCCCCTGGCCATTTTCTTGCCCAGTGTCCCCAGGCATCTGGTATCATTAAGGGAGAGACTAATCCTAATTCCTTCTGGATCCTCAGTTCCAGGAATGGTGCCTGCCATGCAAAAATATTAATGTATCCTGAGGAATAAATAAAACTCTTCTACACCCTCCCCCTCCTCGTTTCTTGCCAGAATGTTCTCACCCTGCAGGAATGGAAATCTCTCACCCAAAGGCCCCCTTGGAAATAAGTCCCTGGCTAAGCATCACTCAGGCAGAGACATATGGATGGAATTTATCTTTAGGTCCCGGGGTTTAAAAATCTGTTAAAAAAAAAAAAAAAACACAAAAAACAGTATTTACGAGTTAACATTTTGCTGGAGCCAAGTGCTAAGTATAACTTCGTCTCCTCGCTCTGTTTTGCATAATCGCAGACCGAGGTTTGTACACACAGCCCGAGCAGCACAGCCCCCGGCCATCAGCTCCCGAGAAGGAGACCGGGGAAGCGCCCTCCGAGCCGCCCGCCCGTGAGAACTCCGTGTCGGCGCCGGCTCTGAACGCGCCGCGATGCCTCTGGAGCGAGGAGCGGTACCCGGGGCCAGGCCGAGCTGGGGCTCGTTGAGCCTGGCGGGGACGTCGCTGCCAACGTGATAGATAAACCTTCAACTGCGAGAGCCTCCAGAACGGAGTCTGGCTTCCCCCACTATTCCTTCTACCTTTGGCTGCTGGCTTTCTGCCGCTCCTTCCAAACGCACACAAACTCGCACGCGCTCACGCGTGTGCGCACACGTGCACGGGGACACGCGCACGGCTCCTGGCACCGTTCTGCCTGATCTCGGCGAAACACACCGCCTCCCTTCACGGGCCCTTTTCTGGTGTCGGGAGACCACTGGGCCTGGTGGACCCCACAACGCCAGCGGCCAGTATTTGCAGAAGCGCGACTCGTGGCCGGCACGGAGCCGCCGCGGCCCGTGCGCTGTCTGCACACTGCCGATGAAACCGAACTAAGAAGCCTAAGGGGTCCCGACTTTCGAACGGGGAAACTGAGGCTCGGTGAGGCTGAGCCACTTCCCCACGCCCAACAAGTTCGATGAACTCTGCCCCTCTCCCTCCTCAGAGCACCGAGCATCTCGTTAACCGCTGCGCCGCCTTTGCCTGGGCCGCTGCGAACCCCAGGCTTGAATGTGGGGGCCCCTGCGAGCAACCGGCCGGCACTGTCCCCGCCCTGCGGTCTGCTACAGCCCCTCAGGCTTTCCCCACCTCTCCCTTTTATTGTATTTTTTTTTTGCTCTGGCTCATTCTATTACTATTTTTTTCCCTATTTACTATTCTATGTATTTTGTGAGGCTTCTCAAATCTTCTGGCGGATTAGACGGTGTTTAAAATAAAATACTCATCCTATTTCCATACTTCCCTATGCTTTGCTACCGCCATTAGAACACCCCGTCATCGAAGCCTAAGTCTTACGGCGTAAGCTGTTCTGTCCACGGCCATCCCGTGCACTTACTTGTGCCCTCGCTGCGTGGAGTGAATTTTCTTCGTGTCCACTCTTACGACAGCACGTGGAATGGTGTGCGTGACGTACGGGCATTGTGCAAGCGTCTGTCCACAACGAAGGCTGTGGGCACGCATGACCCTGACCTCCAGGCACGTCCTTATAAACAGTGCTTGCGCCGTCATAAGCACACAACCATTCACGGGAAAAGAGCGAATGGACCCATTCCAGATATACGGTTTTTATGGGAATATCCAATTAACTTCAATGGTCACCGATTTGTGTGCAATGATTAGCTATGACATTATTTGCTGCAATATTGATTACCCCAAACACGGCAAGAAATTATTCGCCTGTAGAGATAAGTGAAAACAATACGTACTGTCAAATGCACTCCCTGTCCAACCTAAGAACTGAGGCTTGTTACAACCGCGTATGAACTGAAGTTGGTGCTGGGAAAATTAAACTTGAAAGGCTTTGAATGGTGGGAGCAAGAGCGAGATGGAGTAACGGCTCAGACGCGTGAGGGCGGTGCTGGTAAACATTTAACGACCGCCTCTCTGAAGGAAGACAAACGCCCCGATTTGTAGCACTGCCAATTCCTGCGGTGTAAACATGTCCACAGCAACGGATTTCAGCTACCAAGGTGAAGTAGCCAAATGTGGAGTTGGAAAGAGACGTGTACCTCTGGCTCTCCAGAGCCGGCATGGGCAGGCCCCCAGCACTGCACGGGACACAGACCCCGGCCCCACCCCATGACCCAGCGCAGAAGGAGCCTGGGGAGCGAGGGCCCTGGCCCTATTCTCCTCCCTCGCCCTAGTCACCTGCAGGGCCTCTCACAGGCTGCACCCAAGTGGAAACGGACAGGTGAGGGCGTCACTGATCCTACGTACTACCGTGCAGGTAGCCAGCCTCCAGGGCCCCAGGCAGGGGGCGGGGGGGCGGACAAAGGAGACAGGACGGCAGTCGCGAGACGGGCAGCTCAGCTACGTGGAGCTCGCTGCGGTAGTTTGGACTTCCGTCACCGTCACTGATGGCGTCAGGTTAACTGAGGGCAGGCAGGGCACAAGGGGACTGAGCCCTCCAGTGCAGCCTCCCGGCGGGGACCAGGGAGATGACATGGGACGGGAGACTCCAGTCCTGAGAAGCTCGCAGACTGGCAGGCACGTGGCGACGTTCTAAAGTAAGAACCATGCCATCCCGCCTTTCTGAGCCAGCTCGGTGGCCCGCGTCGCCCAGGAATGAGCTCCGCGCTCCCTGCCGTGGCCCACGGTGCTCGGTGAGGCTGGCGCCGACCTCTCCCACTTCGTCTCCGGCTGCTGCCCCCCTCCCTCACTGAGCAGGGCCCTGTGTCCTGAGCGCTTTCACTAGAAGGCACCAACCTGGGTCCTGCCTCGGGGACTCTGTCCTGGCTGTGCTCTCCTCCATGAGCGCCGGCCCCCTGAACCCTCAGCGTGCCCGGCCCCGCCCCAGCATTTGGGTCTCAGCTCAGTGTTGGCTTCCTGGGCAGGTCCTTCCTGTCTGCCACTTGTCCTCCAGGGAATTACCTCCATCTTGTGTGGGGGTTGTGCCGAAGCTGAGCTCTTGGCAATCTCGTGATCCGGGGATCCTTCATGAGGCAGTGGCCACCTACCCTGAGTTCTCCCTCACTTTGGGTGGGTGCAACTGCAGCATCACGAGACCCCTAACAGGGGTGCAAACCCCTGCCCTTAACGCCCTCGTAGGTGTGTCTCATAGACATGAGTGAGCTGAGCACACAGCTATGTGAAGGCTCAATGACAGAGTGAATGTGATCTATTTGATTGTGCTGCGATGTATGAATCTAACACTGAAATGTAAGTCCCAAGACATCGGAGATACTTTTTATCTTTTGTCCATCATAGGTGAGCTTAATGAGTGTTCAATTAAGCTTGGATGGATGGATGGATGGATGGATGGATGGATGGATGGATGGATGTGTGAATGGGTGGATGGGTGGATAGATGGATGAAGGATGGATGGGTGGGTGGATGGATGGATGTGTGGATGGGTGTGTGGATGGGTGGATGGATGGATGGATGTGTGGAGTGTGAAGGCTCAATGACAGAGTGAATGTGATCTACTTGATTGTGCTGCGATGGATGAATCTAACACTAAAATGTAAGTCCCAAGACATCGGAGATACTTTTTATCTTTTGCCCATCATAGGTGAGCTTAATGAGTGCTCAATTAAGCTTGGATGGATGGATGGATGGATGGGTGGGTGGATGGATGGATGTGTGGATGGGTGTGTGGATGGGTGGATGGATGGATGCACAGATGAGTGGATGGATGGATGGATGTGTGGATGGGTGTGTGGATGGGTGGATGGATGGATGGATGGATGAATGGATGGATGGATGGGTGGATGGGTGTGTGGATGGGTGGATGGATGGATGGATGGATGAATGGATGGATGGATGGGTGGATGGGTGTGTGGATGGGTGGATGGATGGATGGATGGATGGATGGATGGATGGATGGATGGATGGGTGGATGGGTGGATGGATGGATGGATGTGTGGATAGGTGGATGGATGGATGGGTGGATGGATGAGTGAGAGCTTTCTACTTCCGCCACACAGAGCAACACAGCCACCACCCTGACCACAAAAGCTGAGGACAGAGGTCATGGGGCAGGAGAGGAGGCCGCGATGGCCAGGAGGCATCGGGCGTGCCCGCCACTTGGGGATGTGAATGGCGGGTGCCCCTCCCATTCAGCATTCTGCAGCGGGAATACACTCCCACACCGCTGAAGGTGCCTAGCAGGAAGCGATCAGCTGGAACGTGGCGATCGGAGTGAGAGCGATGGTTTAGACTCAGCTACCCCTTCGACACGTGTTAGTCTGAGGAACAGGACACTTCCGATCAAGTTCCCAGCAAATGGGATGAGGCTTCCAAGGCCTCTGGGCTTCTACTCATGCCCCGCCCCCCGCCGAGACGCCCTCGCTCTTTCTATGGGTCTGATGAACTCTTGGCAGGGACTTCTCGAAGCCCGCCCCCTTGTGAAACCACCGGATCCCGCCACAGCGTCCGTCTCCACCCTCCGTGCACCTTCGCTCGTTTGTGTACGGCTAGTGCGTTGCAGAGGGCCCAGGGAATGCTTGTTTACACGTCTGTGTTCCTGATTCTCCGTCCCCGAGGGCAAGGACCCGCTGCCTTCCCCAGCACTGCCCCTCATCCGGGAGCCCGACACGGAGCCCTGCACACAGCAGACGGATGTTCACAGACATCCGCAGGCCGAGGCGCGGACGAAACGCCCAGACAGACGAACGGATGGGCGGCTGAGGGGCAGATAAGAAAATTCAGGACACCAGCCCACAGAAGCTGCCTGGAACAGGAAACCAGCCAGTGAGTGAAGGAAGGAACAAAAGCCCTCAAGACACGGACCCCCGCCTGTCAGGCCAAGGGCACAAGGAGCAAACAGCGCCTCGTGGCCACCGGCAGGCCCCGCGACTTACCCTTTCACCGTCCAAGAGCAAATGTGCTCGGAAGATGGCAGCATCGCTTATCGGCACCTCTTCGTTCCTGTACAGGATCTGGAAGATGCGGCTGTGCACGGTGCTCTCGTGGACGCAGGCCGAATGCAGGCTGCTGCCGTCTGCAAAACATGAGCCAGCGGGAGCCCGTGAACTCCAGAACTGCCTCGCACCTGAGGCTCCCTCGGGTGTCTGCCCCAAGCCGCACCCCAGTGCCCAGAGATCCAAATCGCAGAACGAGATCCCCCCATGTAAAGTTTTCTGCCCACTGGATTGGGCTGGAGTCTCAGAATGAACCTCGTTCGACCCCATACAAGCCATACGCTCTTGGCCAGATCCCTTGTCATACTGCGGGCCGTGCTCCTCGGCTGGAAATCAGCACCTGTTAAATTCCTTCCCTGCTCACTTGCTCCTGCTCTGTGAAGCCTTCCGTAATCCCCCTCCCCCAGAAAGGACGAGGAGAACAGGCCACTGAGGACGGAAACCGCCCCTCCTTCGGCAAGAGCCCCCCAGCTGCACACAGAACCGCTGCCTCCTGACAGTGGCGTCTGCAGAACGTGATGAATATTCCGTCCTGAGTGCTGGGCAATGTGCTAATTCCAACTGCATCAGACGCCCGGCTTTTTAGAAGAATCTGCTCATCTCTGCGTCCCCCAGCGTGTTCCAAATCCATCCCGATCCCTCATCACCGTTTTGGCGTCACGCTGCACGTCAGCAGGACGGATCTGCCCGGTGAGGTTACGGGACGTGGCTGCGTCCACGGATCAGGGTTTTCGTGGAGGACAAATAGGTGGATTCCTTTAAATCGCTTGACACACAAACCACGCAGTTGGAAAAATGCAGAGGTATTCTAAAACAAATAACGCTGATATTCACATGAGGCGAGGATTACCTCCTCGTACTACTGACCGACTAGGGGGCACTTTACAGCTTCCGAAATGCTTTTCAAACGTGTTGACTTCTCTTAACCACTCAGCAGAAACCGCTGGGGTTCGTCTGAGGACAGACGGGGAGGCCGAGGCCCGAGGGAGGCGGTGCCGCGCTCCGCGCTAGGCGACCAGGCGCTGCACGAATTCATCCTCACAGCTATTTAGTAACTGAGAAAACTGTCTCGAATAAACAAAAAGTAAATAAAGTAAAGATGAAAAGCACACGCGGCTTAGCAGAAGGCAGGCCCTATGGACGGCGCTGCTCTAAGGAGAAGTCTGGCCGCAAAGAGAGCCAGGAAAAATCACGAGAAAAATCGGCCCGACCAGCACAGAAAAACTGCTCGGGTTCCCTTGTGCACCGTCCCCAGAGGGCTTCAAGAGTCCCTCGGAAACAGGGACAAAGGGTCGCTGTCACCTCCTGATGCCCGGTGCCACCTAACTGCACAGCTGCCTCATAGCTGCGGAGCAGGGGGCAGAAACGTGGAAACGTCTGGTCGGTCCCCAAGCTGCTCAGATGTGCCGGTTCCAATCCGCGCTTCGTCACGAAGGAAATAAAGGCACCGCCCTAACGCAGCCCCGTTTAGACCCACTCGATGCCGACTGACGCGGCTTCTAGACGACACGACCCCCGTGTGCGGCCGCCTTTCCGTTTTCAGCTGCTGCACCGGCCCCTTCTCTGTCGCTGCCAAGGCCTAGCCCATCCATCAGCCAGACCGACAACGGGGCAGGGATGGATGGCGTAGATGCTCTGAAGGTCAGGGAGGCAGGAGCTGTCCAGCACCAGGAGGGACAGACGGCAAAACAGTTCAATCACTTGCCTCCTTGGGCAAGTGACGTCGCCCCTGGTAACAGCAGCTCTCCGTGTGAAGAAATGGACACACCCACACAGACAGGGAGAGGGTGACACACACTAAGATCCTGAGACGCGGCATGCGGTGGGCACGTAACACGCAGCAGGACGACTTTTTAATTAGATGTAGAGAAGGGTCTGAGCACTTTCTGTGGATACGTTTCCGCTGTCCACGTTTTTGTAGACTATCTAACTCAGCAGAGCGGTGAACCAGCCACAGGACTCAACGGCATTTGCGGAAGATGAGCAAACCCCGAGGAGCCCCAGGAAGCCTAGGACGCGGCATTGCTGACGCCCCCGGGGGGCTTCTCATCGCGATTACGTAGGACGTTAAAACGGGGGTCTTCGTACGAGAGGCCCTCTGATCACGAGGCGCCCTGGGGGCTATGGGCCTCACGGACAGCGCCTGCCCGCTTTGTCCCCACTGGAATGTGCCCTTTCTCGACGATGACAACCCACCCTCCCCGCCCCCGCAATCCTCCAGGCCTGAGGACACCGACCTGGGTGAGCTCCGGGCGATGACAAAAGAAGACACTGAGAAGCCGTCACTGAATTTCTTCAAACCCAGGCCACGCTGATATGGGACAATCCTCCCACACTTTACAGCTTGCAGAAGTGGAAAAGCCAAGTTGCATTATGAATGGGTCAAGGTCAGGACCTTGGCTTTCTCATGGGTTAGAGCTGGACCTTCTTCAGGAAGACAGGCGTACACCCTGGACTCACCCCAGGACCCTTTCCCTGTGTGGCCTTGGACGGGCCATTTAATCGGAGCTTAAATGAGGCAGGAATCGTGTTCTGCCTTTGCCTAATCTCCACCACGACCCTGAGGCTCAGACGAGACGAGGGACAGAAAATGTGTGTGTAACTGTGCAATTCTGAAAACCCAAGCAGATTCCTGGTAAGCCGAAGGCGGCAATGATGAGGACTTTACGCCAGATAATTTCATAGCTATTTCTAGGAGCAGCAAGGACAGAAAGTCACCTTGAAGCCACGTCTCATTGTTTTTCTAACCACTTCAGAGAACGGGCAGAAGAGAAGGCAGCCTTCGCTCAGATGATCAGTTCTTCCCGAGCAGAATCAGGACCTGGGCTTCCGCGACCCTGCACGCGCCTTCCGGCTGGTCGGGCCAGTGACCCGTCCTTGCCGGGGCAGACAGGCACGACACGACCTTCCGTGACTCCACCAAGGCTGCTGCTTTTCCCAGACACCTTGTCACCACAGTGCAAGCGGGACGGTCAGCATAGGGGGCGTGGGAACGCCTGGGAGGGAAGGGACCGGGGCCTCGGTGACGCTTCTCGGAGTTTGGAAGTTGAGGAGATGTGTTGGACTGGGACAGACTGTCCCAGCTGACGAGGTACTGACATCCTGTGCGCACCAGGCAAGGACAACCCGTCCCCAGAATAAAAGGCACCTTGACAGAAGCTGGAGCCCGAGATGACGGCTGTGGACACTCGCGGAGGCGCACGGGTTCCTGAGCAGAAGGCTGCTTCGGTCCTGATGTGAGCTGGACAGTTCTGCGGACCCATTTAAGCTGGCACAAAGGTTACGCCCCTGTCGAGCGACGGCAGGATGTACGCATGTCGCCGAAAGAGTCCTAACCAGGGGCCCCAAGGTGTGGGCCCTCGAGGCCCGAGCGGACAGCTGGGCCAGCAAGGTGTTCCACCATCAAGGGGACAGAGAGCCCGTCTCTGCAGGGGACACATTCCAAGACCCGTAGTAGATGCCTGAAACCGGGGACGGTACTGAACCTTACATATACTCCGTTCTGTCCTATGTGTACATACTACGATAGTTTGGCTTATAAATTAGGCACAGCAACGGATCAGCAACAATGACTGACAATAAAATGGAACATCTGTAACAACGCGCTGTCGTCGAAGCTGTGCGATTTTGGCGTTGTTAAAACAAGGGCGACCTGAACACAAGCACGGAGATGCTGCACCGGTAACCGCGGTGGCATGGACGGCTCCTAAGTGACCGGGACGGCTCCTAAGTGACCATGGGGCAGGACACGGGATAAAGGGAGGGCCCACGTCCCGGGCGGGACGGCACAAGATTCCATCGTGCTGCTCAGAACGGCACGCTATTTATAACTCGTAGGTTGTTTATTCCTGGAATTTTCCACCTCATAGTTTGGGGCCGTGGTTGACTGCGGGTAACGGAAACCACAGAAAGCAAAACCGTGGATGGCGGGGGGCGGGGTGGGGGTTGGGTCTAGGCAGCTCCCTGAAACTCTAGAGAACCACCTCCAACAGAGGCCCCGCGGGGTTGAGAAGCCCCCCAGCAAGGGGCAGAGCAGACCCTCCTAGGCTGGCCTTCGGAAAAGCAGCCCATTTAGCGTGTGACCTCAGAGCTTCCTGGATAATGACGTGGAATATCTGAGCGGACGTGAAGGGACTCGTTCCTTAGATTTTCCAAGCACATCGTGTTCACGATGCGCCAGGAAGGGACTGCATGTGAGTTGTCATTTTTATTGCCTTTGGAAAGAATATCGAATGCTTTCCTTGCTTTCTACTCAAAGTTCGCTGCCGTACGTGAAATACTGAAGGCTTTGCTCTAATGCACATGAATGTGAGTTTACGCCTTGTCCGTAATCCCGTATTAATGTGTTTCTGTGATTTTTACCGTGAAGTATATTTCATTCATTCATTAGATTTTTATTAATCGCCTCATGCCTCACTCAGGTCCTGGGAAAAACACCGGATTCGGCCAGGAACAGTCACAGGATTCCTTGAGGGGCGCGTCTGTCTCCCGCATCTGCCCGTGGCATAGTCCCTTCGCTGTGTGTCCCCACACGAGTCTTTTTGTGTGAATAAATCTCTCATCTCTCCAGGTACGTTGCATTTTTTACAACATCTTCTATGGCCTACTTTAGCAATTTTAATGGAGCAGGCGAAGTAGGCACCACAACCTGGGTTTGCGTCTAAGTGTCGTTATATTTTAACTCCACGATTTGAAAAAGCCACTTCCCCGTGATACACGGTTCATGCCGAACCTTCCCGCTCATTTCCAGTTGCTCCACAGAAACCAGCCCTGGGACTGGTGGGTCTGAGTTCCAGGAACCTCAAATTCCTCCTCCCACTTGACCTCGGGCTTGAGCAGCTTCACGTCACTCATGAGAAAACTCAGGATCCGCTGCGGTTAAGTGTCTTGGCGTCAAATGTAAGGGACGGCAGAACGGCGGCTGCGAACCTTGTGCTTGTTTTCTCTCTGACTCTTGCGAGCCTTCGTTCGTTTACTCGCTCACTTATGATTTAGCTCAACAACCCCGCAGGCAGTTACGTTAGACATAATGCTGGTCACCGGCCATGACACAAAGATGACCAGGAACGCCCTTCGACGT